TGAGCCACAACACCCCAAGGTAGAGAAAACACACTCCATAGTAGGTAGAACTGACAGCTCCTTTCAGCCCAAAGAAGCTATAGAAGACAGAGATCTCCACTTTCTCAATATTCCATAAAGAATTACGGGGATATGTGTCTTTCATAGGGAAATGAGACAAATTAGGGTATGGCAAAGCTGGCTGGTGAAGAAGGTATAACCTGTTAACTACAAAATCCCAGGACACATGCACAGAACAGTCCCCAGGACCCTTCACCTGAACTCCTCATGAGAACTCAAAGCAGGTTTTCAGTAGGATGGCCTAGACCTGGTGTCAGCCTGAGGCGTGGGTGACACAAAAAGACAAGTCACCATTAAGCACTTGCTATCATGCCTCTTCACTATAGCCTGCCCTCACGCTGTAGGGTGTACTTCCTTTTCCTACTTTTGCTTGGCCCAAACTCACCCTGCAAAGCCTGTTTCTTTTCCCACCTTAATAAAACTTTGCTACCATTAAAAAATAAATAAGTAAAATCTGACAAAAGTAATAAGTGGATAAATCAATCCCTGTCAATATACAATATTTTCAGAATTCAGTATTTTACAGAATATTTATCAATGCTGAACACACACAGTACACAGAATGAAATTAGTGGGCTGCAGTTTCTATGGTAAAGAAATTTATTTTAACCACAGTGGTGCATGCCTGTAATCACAGCACTCAGGAGGCCAAGGAAGGATAATTGTGAGTTTGAGGCCAGTCTGGGCTACATGGTGCAACCTTGTCTCAATAAAACAAAATAATGGAAAAAGAAATTTTAAAAATTTCCACTGTGTTTATATAAAATGAAACTAATGTATCCACATTTTTTTAAAAAGTAATTCCTTCTAAAGTAAAGAAAATTCACTTGTATACTGAAAACCATATAAGCATCCTGCTGCAGCACTACAAATCCAATAAAGGGGTAATTGTCAGCTATAGGTCAGAATATTCACGGCTAATTTCAATTAAACTTGTCTGAGCAATAGTGAAGATTGTCCTCGATGTTCTCAAATCTACTCCATATTCCCTATTTTCATCTCAAAAAATTATTTACTATTAATGCACATGCATTGCCATGGCAGTGGTATGACTAGACTTAAAAAATTCTACTTTTGTTATAAAATTAATAGCTCAATGTCAAGTTAATTGTGGAAACTTACAACATTTTTCAGAACCTCTCTGGATTAAAAACAATTTCAGTCATTATTTTCTCACATCTAAATCTAATGGTATCCTCACATCATTAACCATGCTTTTATTTTCTATCACGTAAATTTCCTCTAACTAGGGAAAAACCTAGTCTAAAATCATGCAATCTAAAAATGAAAGATGACCTATCACAGATATCTAAGTCAACTGACTATATTAGAACAGTCACAATCTTCCTTCAAATAAATTCATGTAAGTCAGTCCAAAAGCTGGAAAGAGTGTACACCAAGGTGAGTAACTTCTAATACTTATTTTCTAAAATTTCTTCCAAAAAATACACTGAAGGACTTTTTAAACTACTATATTTTTATGAGGTTCAAAAGTCATTCAAACATTTTTCTGAGCTGTCATTAAGGGTAAAAGGTCAATAGCATCCTTGAAATGCCTTGGGTCTTTGGTTACTACTACTACTACAAAAAAAAGGCCCTATTTATTACTACTAGACATTAAAACAAAGAACGTCCAATCTTCCCTACAGTGATATCCTGAAGAAATGTTTGTTTTTAGTGGCCAAAGTCCTACTGAGTGAACAAAGCCCAAAAAAGGCTGACTTTAAATGTGTTATAAAACTGATAAATGATAGGGCTGGGGATTTAGCTCAGTGGTGCCGCTGCCTGCCTCACAAGCTCAAGGTCCTGAGTTGGATCCCTGGTACCACCAAAAAAAAAAAAAATCCTGATAAATGATAATAATATGCTACTTAACATTCCACATATATTGAACTCACAAGTTCCAAGGCAAATTTCAAAACAAAACATCAAAAATTTTTTCAGAATTTGTTTCATCATAAAAAGCCCTTACAAAAGCATAGGTATACATAGATATGGAAACAGATTACAAATAAAGCAAATGAGATAAAATGTTAATAGATAAATATTGCTTAAGACTTAGGATGTTCTTAGTGCTATTCTAATTCTTCCAAGTTTTCTGTAAATTTGAAATTATTTTCAAGTAAGATTTGTTAAAAGAAAAAAATTCTCTATCTTTTTTACTATCCTAAAAAACATAGACATCACCTTACCTTCCAGCTATTAAACTACTTCTTTGCCTCTCTTAAAAACAGAAAAAACAAGGGCCAGGGATTTAGCTCAGTGGTTCCGTCGCCTGCCTCGCAGGCACAAGGTCCCGAGTTCAATCCCTGGTACCAAAAAAAAACAAAAACCCAGAAAAGACTGTATCTACTCTAATTTCTCATATCCCATATTTCCTTAACTATAGCCACTGTGATCTAGCTTCCATCCTCACCTCTGCATTGGAAATACCTGTTAGTTCTGTTTTCAGTAGTTGAGATTGAAAGTAGGGCCTTCACACTGAGCTACATCCCCATCCCTTTTTACTTATTTGGAGAGTTTCTAATTTCTTAGGCTAGGCTCAAACGTGCAATCCTCCTGTTTCAGCATTCCAAAGTGCTACAATTACCGGGTATGCGCACTGAGCCCAGCTTAAAAGGCTTTTTTATAATAAAGAAATTATGTAAGAAAATTATTTTTATGTCTCAATAGAGAAGTCCTCTCCGCAGCATTTGAAATAAATATTTTGGTTTTCTTCTTGTGCCACTCACTGGCCATTTCCTCTCAGTTCCTTTCCCAGGTGTTCCTCTACTGGACCTCAAAGTAAGTGTTCCAGGGCTCATGGTAAGGCCTTCTAAGTCTATTATGGCCTTACTCAACCTGGTAATCTTATAGGTTAAATCCCACTAACATGTTCACAATTCTCAAATTTATATCTTTGGGCCTGATACCTCCTCTAAGCAAAAACTGTATGTATCTTACTAAAAGGCATCCTTACTTACATGTTTTCATAGGCATTTCAAGTTAAACACAGCAAACACAAAACTCCTGTTTTTTCCTCCCAAACTTATTCTTCTTTCATAGATTACACATTTCAGCAAATAGCACATCATTAATTTAGTTGTTTGGGTTATAAAACCTACTCAGCACCCTTAATTTCTTTTTCTTTCATTAATCATCTCCATTCTATCAACTTTATGTATCCAACTACCTTCAGTTCCTCTCTTCTTTTTCCCTTTTCTTCTCTGACTTCAATTTCTACCTCTGCCTTATTGTGTTTTAGTCACACCGGCTGAGGTAAATTGCATAACAGCCACCCACAGATATCAAGTCCTAATCCCTAGAGTTTGTAAAAATTATTTTTAAACAGGTGAGATCAAATATAATTAAGATTTCTGAAATGAAATTACCCTGGATTATCTGGGTGGATCCTGTCATCCCAAATGTACTAAGAGAGATGCAACCAACTCATGGTGATTGATGTATGCCTGTAATCTCAGCTACTACTCAGGGAATTGAGGGAAAAAGATTAAAAATTTCACTGCAGCCTGGGTAACTTAGTAAGATCCCATCTCAAAAATAAAAAGAAATAAATAAAAAGGGCTGGGGATGCAGCTCAGTGGTAGAATGTTGCCTAGCATGTGCAAGGTCCTGAGTTCAATCTCCAGTACCCAAAAAGAGTGTGGGGGCACAAAGGGAGATAACATAGAAACACAGAGAAATCCATTTGAATAATCAGCATAAGAGATGTAACCACAAGCCAAGAACTACCTACAGGCATCAGACACTACAAGAGGCAGAGATTCTCTTCTAGAACCTGACACCTTGGTTTCTGACTTCTGGCTTCTACAGCAGTGAGAATAAATTTTTGCTGCTTTAAGATACCCAGTTTGAGGTAATTTGTTACAACAGCCATATGAAACTAACACATTCACCTATTTTCTGATGCCTTAATATGCCAAGTTTGTTCATTCTTCAAAACTTATGCACACAATGCCCTGTTGGGACTCCTTCAAGTCTCCACCTTGTAAGTCACTGTCTCAGGGAAACCTTCCCACTCCATTTGATGAAAGCCACCCCACATATATATTTCCTTATTTTTTCATAGCACTTTTTATCATTTATAATTACTATTTGGTTCTCAAATGTGCACATTCTGTCTCAAGTAAAATAACAATGTCTTTGATAGTAAGTACTTTATTAGGTTCAACAATAACTCCAGCACATACGACTCATAATCCCATTTTAATGTACACAGTTCTTCTTACCTTACATATTTTATATTTTTATGTAAAATAAGGATTTCCACAAAGGTACCACTTAGAAAATATTGGGATTCATTAACATACAAACTGGAAATTTTAAAAGAAAAAAACCTTTGGTAGGCACTGTCAAGTAAATAATATTTCTAAAAGCAGTCCCTTAGAATACATTATCTTCTAAAGTACACTTTATTGATTTTTTAAGTCAGAAATGAAACCCCAAAAGCCACTCCACCACCCTTCCTTCAGAAATACAATAAACTCCGGAAACGCCATTCAGGAAAAAAGATCTGATGATTTGTGGTACATCAAGTTGACAGTACCACTGAATTAGCCTAATAATCTTGAGAGCTCTCCTGGCATAAAACCAATTTTCAGAATTCAAAATAACACCCAGAGCCAAATTATTATTTTCAATTCTCCATATAAGTGTCCGAGACTTTCAACCACATTTGTACAAGCTTGCTTTCACCTGTAAGTCCTAAATCATTGAGATTTAAATTACACGGTTAATGTTACATCTGTTTTAGCTTTTAATTATCAAATTATCACAAATACATTCATCTATTTGAAGCTTATCCCGTCTCTCATTCCTTTTAAAAGTTAATAAAAATCATATAGAGATAAACTGTAATTTAGAATTTTCCCACCAGTTCAATTTCCAATTTTGACAAAAAGCCATCGCATTTAGTAACTATACATTTCAAATTTTATTACCTTCTCAAATACAGGAACGTAGGAAGGCACATGAGGTTTACTGATTTCTGCTTCCCAATCTTCATCTCCCATGGTGGCTTCGAGTTCTATTTGTATCTTAAAAACATGCACTTTTGGTCTTGATTAGATCTTAGATCAGACTTTATCCTTAACACAGCTCAGTGATAATGCACACAAAACACAAGGCCATGGTTTTTAATCCCCATCACCAAAAAAAAAAATGTATAAACTATAATCTATTCAACTAAATGCTAATCGTCCCAAAGGGTTTTTGCAAAAAGGAGAACTAGGTATTCTTACCTAGAAGTGGCATTTTTATTCATCCATCCTTTTTATCTTTAAAAGACTGCTGAACCACTTACCTAATCATTCTAGCAATCACCACGTTCAGTGGATGCTTAGGCTTTTTCCCCAAATCTGTTCCTCCTCCAAAGGATCACCAAAAGGGCTCGGTGGATATTAAACAGGGGAAGGGGAGTGTTAGAACATACTCAGTTTTTCCCTTTGTATGCTTTCTCCCCTGGTTTCCTTTCAAAAGCAGGTAAGATGTTCGGTTTAGGTGTTTTGTTGGGGAGGGAGCAGTTTGAGAGGAAAACAGAGACCTTGGAGATGGACAGGGAAGAGAATTAAGTGACTCAAATCCTACTCCCCCATCCGCAACAAAGCATAACTAGTTTCTTCCAGTAAGTGTTTGTACACGAATGAAACTACAAACATCTTTTTTCGGAGAAGCCCGCGTAGGCACTGCACAAAAGGCTCCTTCACCTCCCCTCCAGGCCTCAAGTCCTGCCTTTGGTCACCTGGTCACCCACAGGATTTTAGAACCCTCGTGGGAAGAAAGGAAGCCCTCAAGGATGTCTTCAAATCCCACCTGCCCCATTTACTCTTCATCTGTCCCAAAGTCCGACAACTAAAAGGCCTGTGAGCCCTTGGTGTATATGAAGCCAACCCACTCACCTCTCCACTCGCAGATCTCGCTGTGTCCTCGGAGGAGCACAAGCCGCGCTTAAACGGCTGCACGTGCGGACGCGCGGACGCCGACTGCGTCAGGAACGCTGCACCAACAGCAAATAAAACCAGGAGGTGATGATTGCCACTGGCCAATCAGCGCTCAGACGGTGGGTGGCGTCCCGCCCCCATTTCTGCCCAGAGGTTTCTTACTTGCTAATGTTCGAGGCTTCAGTGACTGAATCCACTGGCCTTCTCAAAAAGTAGTCCGTTATCGCTTGTGTGTAAAATTTTATATGCGCCAGTAAACCAAGCCATCTTTGGTCACCTCCCTTATTCTAATACACACACACACACACACAGGAGGGTCCGTTTGAAGTTTTTATTCCCTTTTTATCTTCCACAACCCCTGGTGATTGGCCCGTCTGGTTCTTAATTTCTGAGGCCTCACTTCACACCTGGATAATCCATTTGCCTTAGTGTGCGGCTGAGGCAAGAGGACTTGATCCATTCCCTATTCCCCCCAGTATAGGAAGGATGAGGATGAGACTGTGCGGGTAGTACCCCAGGAAGTTGTAAAGAAAGACTGGGGCCGGGGATTTAGTGCAGTGGTACCGTGCCCGCCTTGCAAGCACAAGGTCCTGAGTTCAATCTCCAGTACCAAAAAGAAAAGAAAAAGAGTGTCATGTAAAGTCGGGTGTTCACTTCTGTGGGAAAGAAACAACCTCTGATTTCAGAAGGAAAGAGAAAATTGGGGCTGGCACAGGTCTTCATCACTGCCTGATTTGTGATCCACCTCTTTTTTTTTTTGTAACAGGGATCGAACTCAGGACCTTCCTTGTCCTTGCGAGGCAGTGTGATCCACCTCTTTATATCCTTAGGGGCCCTAGTCAAGTCAAAGGCCAAGAGTTATTTCAATATTTAATGCTGTCAGTGATTAGATATTCTGGTTCTTCCCACCCCACCCACGATCATTTTCCATTCTCTTGATCTTTGAGGAAATGCCTCAATATCTTAGGCAGGAACATAAATCTCTGTACAGTCTGATACTCAGGCACGAAGGATGAGGTGCTTATGCTACTTGATTCAAACTATTTATCTCTAGAACCATCATTACTGTTTCAGCACCAAGAATGTGTTAAGATTTATCCAGTTAGCGCTAAATTTTGTCAGACTAGTCTCACTCAACATCTGTTTTGTTTTGTTTTGTTTTGTTTGTTTTATTGTTGCTGCTGTTGTTTTTGGTACCAGGAATCAAACTCAGGACCTTGTGCGTTCGAGGCAGGGAGGTGCCACTGAGCTAAATCCCTGGCCCTCAACATACGTTTTTAAAAGACTATATTTAACAGATGTAATCAAAATATATTTTAACATAACTATCACTTAAAACTTGGACAATTTTTCAAAAATGAAGTTTTTATCCTTGGTACCAGGAAAAAAAAAAAGAACTGTTTTTTAAACATTTAGCATCCATTTTTGGAGGGGACAGATTCTTATTGCTTTCAGGTATTCCAATAAAATGGTTCTTTATGGGGAAAATACACACACACACACACACACACACATAGAGAGAGAGATATATCTATATCTATATATATATCTATATAGAGAGATATATCTATATCTATATATAGAGAGAGAGAGATATATATATGCGAAAGCAACCGTTGGTTAAGAAAAAGTAAATTCTGATGAGAACTGAAATTCAATATTGAGGAAAAGATAAATAATATATGAAAGAATTTAATTCAAAAATCAAACATAAAGAATAAAAAAGAACAAATATGGTTCAGTAAACATTATTTCTTTGATAGACATGAAATTAGTATATTCTACTTTGTGGTTCCTTTTGTAAGATCTTAATTCAATGGCAGTGATACACTGTATGTAGGGAAAAGGCAGGAATTCATTTCCTTGTCACATAGACTTTAAATGAGTACCTACTGTGTACCAAATACTATGCTAGGTATTAGAAGTAAAATTACCCAGGTTGCAAGGAATAAGCTAGTCAAAAGAAGGGCAATGGCAACTGAAATTTAAAACTTTAAGTCTCCTGTCTCAAAAGATTCATTAGAAAGCTGAGGTGGAAAACTTTCTGTCATATGTAGTTTCTCCATATTCTCTAAATCCCATGTAATAAGATAAGGCAACAACTTTCTCAAAGTGTATTTCAAAGCAAAGCTTATAGTTAAGACCCTTCATACTTCAGAAAGAGGCACTAAATTCTCCAGTTGATTTAAAAAGAACTTATATTCAGGTTTTCGGCATTATCTCCACATTATTTGAATAATAATTTTTTAATTGATGTAGACTATATCTAGCACCATGTCAAGACTTAAAATTTTCTTTCCTAGCATGTAGTTCAGTGGTAGAGTGCTTGCCTAGCATGCATAAGGCTTTGGGTTCCATCCCTCGCATCACACACACACACACACACACACACACACACACACACGCACCTCTTTTATTTCACCAGCAGACCCAAAGTGGATCACCTCAAATCAAAAAGACTAGATTTTCATTCTTAGGTGCCAAAAATATTTGAGAATCCTATAATGTATACATAACCATCTATTAAGATAAAAATTATAAAATATTGTAGATTTTAGCCATGTCCAAGCCACACAAAACGGAGAGGAGAGGGGATGCAATATCTTCAAGATATATCATGGACTAGGATGTAGCTCAGTGGTGCAGTGCATCCATGTGAGGCCATAGGTTCAATCCCCAAAATTGCAAAAAAAAAATAATGCTATCGTGGTACTAACACATCTGAGGAAGAGATTCAATAGAGGGGTTTTCAATATACCTAACAGGATTCAGTGCAACAAGACTTCTATATTCTTTCAATAATAGCTAAGGCAACATTTATCAAATCGTGGTGTATATATATATATATATATCACTAAGAACCTTTAGGCAAGTCATGTATGATTTTTATTTTTATAGTTATTTTAGTGTTTTTTACTTCAGTATGTATTAGAAAACTATCACACCAAACATGATTTCAGAAATCAAATTGCTAATAAGGACTAAAAGGTATAATAGATAATGTGAGACAGGCAAAAAAGGAGCAAAGGGGAAGGGGAAGTGGGAGGGGTAAGGGAAAGGAAAAGGGGGAATGGAATTAATATGAGAAAATGGAAAAAAAAAGTCTTTGTAAATAGAGAAGGGTGGAGGGTTGAAGGGAGGGCAGAGGAATGGGAAAAAAATAAGAACCAAGATAGATTGCATAAAGGTAGAAATTTCCAATGATGAATGTCATTATATTGTATACCTAAAATGTACCAATAAAATTAATTTTAAAAAAGAAATTGCTTACAGTGAGGCTACACTAAATAATTTTTTAAATGTTGATTCAATTGAAGAATATGTAATCATGGCAAAAATCATGTTGATGGTATTCAGATAGTTTAAGTGTAGGAAACATTGGTGTAAATGAAAAGACTGGATCTGAGGGCTAGTCACTAGAGAGAAGTTCTCTATTGTGAGTAAATGTAGTCATCATCACTTGTTCTAATTTCATGCTCACTCATCAACTTCCTGATTAATAATTTGACTTCTCAAGTAAAGAGGTACTAGGAGGGAAAATGACATGAGTAAGACATATCAGCCTTACTTGTTCCCCATTATGATTCAATAGATTGAGATTCTGGTTTAGAAATCAGTGTTGTTTGATCTTACCTAGTATTCCTGAGAGGGGTTTACTTGTAAGCAACCAGCCCTCCAAGATGACAACACATTCAGTGACCCCTAAACACTGTTATAAATGTATTTAATGAGAGTTCACAGTCAATGAAGGATAAAAGTCAAACAGTAATCCTTAGATTAAATGGTCTTTTTGACTGTTTGCCACAGAAAAATGGTTCATCAGTGAATTATGGAATTTGGTGAAGTCACTGGGAAAACACTGTATACCAGACTCTAGCCCTTTCCATTCCCATTAGATGCTACTTACTTCTAAAAACAAACCTAACTTCTCTTGAGTCCCAAATGGCAAATAGAAACTGATTCATCAGTGTCATCACTGTCAGTCAACCAAATGTTTCTAAAAAAAAAGTACAGGGCCAGGGATTTAGCTCAGTTGGCACCACACCTGCCTTGTAAGCTCAAGGTCCTGAATTCGATCCCCAGTACCAAAAAAAAAGTGCAACACTTTAAGAAGAGCATAGTGGGGCCGGGGATTTAGCTCAGTGGTTCTGGCACCTGCCTCACAAGCGCAAGGTCCCAAGTTCAATCCCCAGTACCAAAAAAAAAAAAAAAAGAAGAAGAGCATAGTGATTTTATCCTGGGGGAAAAAAAGGATTCTCTAACCATCCACCGAAGAAGCCTACGGTGACCAACCCTTTAACAGTAATCCCAAGTGACTAGAACAGAAGCTTCAAGACTTCTTCAAATCGAGCCTAAAAAATACAGTAAGTCCCCAATTTATGAACATTCACGTTGCAACATCCATAAATATGAACAGACCTCGCATTGTGGACATTTGTAGATGTGAACAAATCGCTGAAGTAGCTCACATGTCTTCAGGACACTGTCACAGTTGTGCTGCTGTGTGCTTGCTGTACAGTGCCATAGTGTACAGTAGTACAGTGCTCAATCAGAGCCCAGGATGTCCAGAAGCAAGAGGAAAAGCAGTGGTGATGTGGAGGGGACTGCTAGGAAGCACTAAGCAATATACATTGTATATTTGTGTCAAAGATGATATTAGACTCACTTTGTCAGACTTACAAATAAACCCAATTTACAAACATACAGAACTTGTTCTTAAGTTAGGGTCTTACTGTAACACAGACACATCTACCACATTTTGTTGGTTATAAGAAAGTAATAAGACCAGTCCAGACTCAAGGAAAGGGAACTACATAGTGCCATGAAAACTGGAGACCTAGTTCACTGAAGAGACTAGCTGTTGATGATGTCCAGTGTGTGTTACTTGACTCCTTTGGCATTCACAAGTCCCTCTTAAACCCCAATAACCTGAATATTTGCTCTTTAATGTTGTCCCAAAGTTCCCGTAAGCTTCTTCATTCTACTTCATTCTTTTTCT